GGTAAAATTATTGAGAGAATGGCTGCGAAAGATTAGTTATTTCCTTAGCTTGATTCTGTGGAAACTGAAAATTTACATTTTTTTGTGCCTTTAATAAACGTTTTACAGTAAAATCCACACAGAAATGTGTTCTTTATTGGGCATGAAAGGTGTTGATCAAAAAAAAAAAAACTTTGATAAAAATTCACTGACCTGCAGAAAAATGCCAGGTTCTTCACATTGCTTATTTTGACGAGTGCATGATTTCACCACGCTGCCTCACATATACATTTATTGAATACAGTACTTTTGGTTTGTTTGTCCGCAGTCTAAAGACGTCGTTGGGCCAGGTGGTGAGCCCAGGCTTTGAGGAGGAGCTGATCCTGACAGCTCTTCACATCCTACAACGTGTGTGCGCCGAGACGATGAAGATCTGTCCAGACGTGAGATACTTCACCACTTCAGTGCTTTCTCGTCGTATCTCCATTTTTTTTTTTTATCAGTGAAAAATGCGACTTCTTCTTAAGCTCACTCTTTGTTATGAACTGTTTTCACTGTTATTAAAAATTGAGATATGACAAGAAAGCTCTGAGGTCGTGATTTGCTTTTATTTTAGCATGAAACAATGGGTGGAAAAGAGTTCTTCGATTATCAGGACTTTTCCTTTCACTTTTTATGCTGTTAGCGGTGACTCCTACAAGTTTCTATTGTGGGCTGACACATTAAATCGATGCTCTCTGCTGTCTTTGAGTCAACTCCGTTTTTATTTTTCTATCCTATTCTTACCGAAATCTTTTCTTTTTATACCTTCCTGGAGTTTTTACCATGTTCTCTATTTTTCTGTCCACTTTTACTGAAGTCTTTTCTTTCTTTATCCCCCAGGAGTTTACCAACTGTGTTCTCTATTTTCTGTCCACTTTTACTGAATTCTTTTCTTTCTTTATCTCCCAGGAGTTTACCAACTATGTTCTCTATTTTCTGTCCACTTTTGCTGAAGTCTTTTCTTTCTTTATCCCCCAGGAGTTTACCAACTGTGTTCTCTATTTTTCTGTCCACTTTTGCTGAAGTCTTTTCTTTCTTTATCCCCCAGGAGTTTTCCAACTATGTTTTCTATTTTTTTGTCCACTTTTGCTGAAGTCTTTTCTTTCTTTATCCCCCAGGAGTTTGCCAACTATGCTCACCAGATAGTGGACACAGTGGTCAGCGCTGTGGGGAAGAGCGAGGCCATCAGTAAAGCCGCCGTGACCTTGTTGCGTGCTGTCCTGAGTTCTTCTCCAAACAACGAAGAGCTGAAAGCGTCTCTGAGGACCCTGAACCCACTGCCTCTCAACGTGCCCAGTCTGGATGAGCTGAGAGAGGGCATGGACACTCTCTGTGGAGAGCAAGGACTGCCTCTTGTCCTGGTGAGCTTTCTTTGATGATACTCCTCGCTCTGTCAGTAATTTCATCACCTTGTGGGGCTCTCGCAGCCTGCTAGAAGTTAAGGTCCCCGGGTTTGAATCCCGGTAGCGGCCGAAAAATTTTCTTCTTTAAAATTTTCTCCTTTCACCTCCTTTCCTGCTCTCTTGCTATAATCTGTCGTCTGCTTTTGTCTCCCTTTTCAACCTCCACCCCCTCACCTCCTTTGCCCCCTCCTCTGGGTTCCTGACTCTTTCTGCAGCCTTTTTACTGCTACTCCTTGGCTCCTTCTTACTACTGTCTTTCAGCCACACCTCTGATCTTCTAGTAGGAAAGATCTACACCTAGCCTTTTCGGAAAAAGGCGAAAAATCTCAGATGGCACATGTGCAAGTTGCGCACATTAAAGATCCCTTGGTGGTCTAAAATAGATAAGAGTAGGCTACGGCCGCTACCCGGGCAAAATTCAAAATTTCCTACCAACTGAAAAAGTTTAATGTGTCCCGCGCGCTCATATAACCTTATGCAGTTGCGAACGCCGTAAAACACTTACCCCCCAAAAATCAATAAGTACCATCAGCTTGTGCCATTCTTTCTCTTCAGTTGTCTTGTAGAAGGTGGAAATCTCTACAAGTAGTTCTCTATAGCAATTTTAGATATTGCTTTGGAAAAGGTTGAGGAGGAGGGGGGGGGGGGGGCGTTTTCAGACTCTGTAGGTTGAGGTAATATTTGTACTTTCATGTGAAAGGCTGTCATTGCTTTCATGTCAATAGTTCATTTCAAGAATCTGTAAGCCACATGCATGAAAAGACTGAATATTATTGTTTGCCCTTTGTTCTTGTGGAAAGTCTACCGATTCATGTTGTGTCTGTTAACAGTGGCCAGCATACTAAAGCTTATGAAATGGACTTCCGGTTTCTCAGGATTGAAAAGGTTGATTCTTTGTATTTTTGAGAATGTAATATGCCGCTTTCTCAAAATAACCATTACAGAGTGTCTTTGTTGTATGAAATGATCAAAGTAAAACTTTTATTTTAAGACCATGCTTTTATTTGTTTATTATATTCTTTTTTCAGCGTTTGCAAAATCTGCTCCAAGCAATCTCCTTCATGTCTGTCGTTCCGTCGCACGGACTGGTTCTCCGACTGAATCGGCTCACGAGGGATCTTTTGACCGAGCGCAGGGAAGTACTTCAGATGGCTGTCGGCTCAGAAGGTGAGAAATTCAGTTCTAATGTTGTTGTCCCTTTTTAAAAAAACTAATAGTTCTGACATTATTCTCTACCCCCCCCCCCCCCCCCCCCCTACGGGGCAGTGCCACTGACTGTAGTGTCTTTAGACCCTCCGGGGCAGTGCCACTGACTGTAGTGTCTTTAGGCCATTCCCAAAGGGGGGACATTTCTCGTTCAAACACAGTAGAATTGTAAATGGGCTGACTCATGTCACACTCATAACTGTGCCTCATCTACAACAGGGAACTGCTGCTTTTTCTTTCCTGATCCTTACTATTGTCATTTTTCCTCTACTTCTTTTGTATGTTTGTCACTCTCTTGTGACCTGCTATTTCCGGGGTGCCTTGATAGTCGAAGCAGACCTTGTGCTGTTGAAGCGAGAGAGGTGAGCAGTCTAAGTCTGATTCCCTGTAAAGACTTCTCTGTTGACACCAACACCTTGGCGCTCATATGACCTTATGCAGTTGCGAGCGCCGTAAAACCCTCTACTATAACAAAAAAATACACCATCATCTGGAGCACATTGTAATAAATAAATAAGAATTTGCAAAGAAAATAGGAGTATTTTTTGCTCAAGGCAACTGAAAATGTAAACCACACTGTGTGAATGAATGCGACTGAACTTCTTTTACCCTTCTCTTTTTTTATCCCCCAACTCTGTTTCCCTTTTTTTCTTCAGGGTTGTGCTTACTGAAGAAAGTGGTGTGTGCTCTGCTGTCCCTCACCGAGTGGGAAAACCAGCCTCTTGTTGCTGCCGCGGGGTCATGCCTGGGTGCCATCGGCCCGGTTGACCTTCAGACCATGACCTTGCCGGCAGGCCTCGGGAACTCAAGTTCATCCATCGCCATGGAAACCTTCAGGAATCAGGAGTTTGAGAAGTACTGTTGGCTCATCCATAAGCTGGATGATTGCTTACTGGATAAAAGGTGGGTGAATACTGAGTGTTTACTGAAAAAAAAAAGATGCACTGTGTACTTGTGCTGCTTTTTCTTTCCTAATCCTTTCTATCGTCATTTTTCCTGTACTTCTTTTTTATGTTTGTCACACTCTTGTGAACTGCTATTCCTTGGTGCCTTGATAGTCGAAGCAGACTTTGTGCTGTTGAAGCTAGAAATGTGAGCAGAGTAAGCTTGATTCCCTGTAAGGACTTCTCTGTTGACATCCACCCCTTGGCGCTCATATGACCTTATGCAGTTGCGAGCGTCGTAAAACCACTACTAAAAAACCCCAAAAAACTGTGTACTTATGTAAAGACAGATAACTGAGTGAAAAGATAGGACGCCGCTGGCTGGAGGTGGAGACGATTGGCCAGAACATAGACAGGTGGCGAGCTCTTCTTGGCTGCCTGTACAATTACAACGACAATCTTTATTCATCTCAAAGGGAGAAATTTGTCTTGGTCATTTACAGTGGCAGTGGAGTACTACAAAGGTTTGGTTCACTTAGGCACACACGCAGCAAGACAGGACATTAGTACATGTATGTTTTATGTGCTGGAACAACCCTGCTCTGTAGAACGTTCTTTCGCTCCCAGGGTGAATGAGACGAAGAATGAAGTGAGTGAAAGTTTCCCTAGCCGTGTTGTTTAGAAAGACATTTATTTGTGATATAATGTGTTTGTGTGCTTGTGTGACTGTTGCATAATATACCTGTGGGTGTGTGTTGGTCCAATGCATTGAATTTATATCTTGTGTTGGACATGTTGCTGTGAGCACATGATGCTTTTCGTCCAGTGGAGGATCAGTAAAGAAGTTGAGAATTTTTCTTACAGTTGTAGGGTTTGCTGAGACAGCGATAGTTGTAGAGCGCATAGAGCATTCTGCTTAGCATAGATATTTGCTGTATAATCTGTAAATGCAATTATTATCATTATTGATCATTATTATTATTATTAAGATTATCTGGTCTCTTGGCTGTCAGTATAATGTATAAGTACAATTTTTATAATTATTGATCATTATTGTTGTTAAGTTTGTCTGGTGTGGTTTGCTTCTTCTTTCCTCAAACATCTATCGTCCTTATCTCCCCTTCTTCTATCCTATCAAACATCTATTGTCCTTATCTCCCCTTCTTCTACCTATCAAACATCTATCGTGCTTATCTCCCTTTCTTCTTTTTTATGTTTGTTACTCTCTTGTAACACCTCTAATCTTCTGGCGCTCATATGACCTTATGCAGTTGCGAGCGCCATAAAACCTCTACTAAAACTAAACTAAGTTTGTCTGGTCTTTTAATTGTCAATATAATGTAGAAAGGCAATTATTATCATTATTGATCATTATTGTTATTATTGAGTTTATTTTGTCATTTGGTTGTCAGTTGTTGTTTGAAATTGTTTCCACAGTTTAGAGGTGGTGAGAACCGCGGGGGAGATCCTGCAGTCTGTGTTCAGCACGGCCTCCTGTGTCAGGTTTGAGGCGGAGTACAACAAGGCCCTGCGCTCCAAGAGCTTCGTCTTCTTCTATCTACATCCTTTCAAGAGAAAAACTCCGAAGCTCGATGTGAGTCTCAATGCTTGGACTTTGCTATACTGGGCAGTATGTGTGAAGTGTGTTGACAAAATGAGTTACTTCTCGGATTTGAGCCCTATGGAAATAGATACATAACACTTTTAGGTGAAGTTTTTACAATTTATAAGTGTGAAATATGAAAGGCATGTTATACATAAAGAATATGGCATCAATAGAAAATCTACGAATTTGATCCTGACTCATTTTGTCAGCATGCCTCACATATACAGTATAACATGAATATGTCGAACACAGAAGACTCGAAAGCACGCATACGTCAAACTGTGCCTGCGGTCCCATTTTTTCTTCTTCTTTATCTTTGTATGATATCTCTCGAACTAGGGATCTCTCGAACTACCGAGGTCAGTCCCGACGAATTTGAGCCATTTCGTGTTGTACTGTATGTATGGTAAATGCCGTAGCATATATCGACTCATTAGTGTGAGTCTTTGCCACACGCCATTGTGAAAAGTGACATATACTGGTGATCAAAAGAAAGGTACCACTTTTTGATTGTGTAAAAAATCTAGAGTTTTGAGTCTTTACGTTTTTCCTTTCATGTGAGTAATATTAGTAATCTAAAAAGTAGCTTATGTTATAAAAATAACATTTTGGTGCTTCGATTAGTGTTCACAGTACCAACACCAAAAAATAGAAAAATTGGCATTTTTTCCCCTTGACCATGGGGTGGATATTTTCTATTCTTTGTATTTTAATGAACTTTAGGCCTATGTTTATCAAAAACTGCAATAAGATTTAGTCATTGTCACCCAAGAAACATAATTTTATAGACTCACACATTTCATTAACATAATTTGTGACTCACGCATTTCATTAACATGATTTTTTTACTCTCGCATTACTCCCGTACTAGTGTTACCATAGTTTTGACCCACCTGGTATTCTGTTCAGAAAATGGCCCCCCCACCAGCCCCGTCCAAGAAGGATTCCCTGACGCCTGACACGCTGGACAACCAGGACCTGTGGCTCGGTGTCAGCGGGAACTCTCCGCTGTCGCACGAAGAATGGATCCGGAACTTGACCACGGCTCTGCTCCGCTCTGGGGCCGTACAGGATGAGATGCTGGCCAAGATAGAGCCCATGTGTGCCTTCAAAGTAAGCTCTAGGGAGCTCTCATGGTCAAGAGGTTACGGTGTTTGCCTTTCTTTCAATAGGTCCCAGGTCCGAAACCTGACAGTGACGAAAAATGTTCTTCTCTCAAATTTTCTCCTTTCACTACTTTTCCTGCTCTCTAACCGTGCTCTGTTGTCTGCTTTCGTCTACACTAATTCTCATTAAACTGAAAATGCCTTAATGTGTCTTGCGCGCTCATATGTTTTGTTCTGTGTTACTGGCTCTACTTATTTTGATAACCAGACCACAGTTAGGTGGCGGGAAAGTGGGAAAGACCAGGATGATACTGGGGTTTTTTTTTCAAACATTTGAGCTAAGAGATGAAAAGCAAATGGTGTGTGCATTCTAAATTTGATGATTGTTTTGTATTATAAGCTGACATTTCTTTCTTATTGAAAGAGAACTAGAAGTACCAAAAACATGTGGTTTCTTTGGAGACTGTTGGGAATTTTGTGGAAGGAAAAGAAAATCAAATAAATTAGTGCTGAAAGAAGAAAAATGGGATTCCTGGAAATCCTGAATAAAAGAGTCTTTCGTATTAATTGAGGGTGGGAGAGGAGGGTTTACCCCTATAGTTCAGTCATAGCACCCCATGCTCTGACTGTCATTTTGGTTAAAGTGCCCAGGGAGTATTCCTGGCTTCTTTCCTCCCCTTTTCATTTCTATTTTTACTGTTTGTAGTTACATATGAAGAAGAGTGTTGTAGGAATAAAATGTTCTTGAATTATGAGGAATTCGAGAAATGTGGAATGTGCCAAGTTTTTGTACATTGTCCATGGGACGGTAGTTGTGTTCCTATATCAACTACTGAGTGGACGACTCCACCATATGCTGTTGAGAAAAGTGACGTATGATGAGTCTCATACTCTGAGCAGTCAATTCAATATGTAAGAGGGAAGGAAAAATTTACTGGTGCATATTTTGAATTGGGAAAAACAACAGCCCGTGTGGTCTGTTTAAATTTCTGTCTTTTTTAATTTATTTTTTTCTCCTTTTCTTTTTCTCCTTTTCTTTTTCTCCTTTTCTTTTCTCATTTTCTTTTCTCATTTTCTTTTACTCATTTTCTTTTCTCATTTTCTTTTCTCATTTTCTTTTACTCATTTTCTTTTCTCATTTTCTTTTTCTCATTCTCTTTTCTCATTTTCTTTTACTCATTTTCTTTTCTCATTTTCTTTTCTCATTTCTTCTCATTTTCTTTTCTCATTTTCTTTTACTCATTTTCTTTTCTCATTTCTTCTCATTTTCTTTTACTCATTTTCTTTTCTCATTTTCTTTTCTCATTTCTTCTCATTTTCTTTTCTCATTTTCTTTTCTCATTTTTATTCAGATTGACAAATGGACAGAATAGATACTATATACTATATATCACTGATTTATTTTTTATTTGTTTTTCTAGACCCAGTTCTGTGAAGAGGCTTTGCCGTACTTGGTACAAGACATCCTTCTACATGGTGGAGAGGATTTTCGCAGAATTCTTTCGTATCACTTCACATCCTTCTTCCGATCTCACTGTGCACACAAGGAGTTGGGAAGCTCGTCAGCAGGTAGGGACTGCATCACTTATCTGAGGCACCGTGGTGAAATCAGGTGGTCGTCAAGATGATGTAGTCAAGGAAGCCTGCATTTTTCTGGCTGTTGGGGCAATTAAAAAGAATTTTTTTTTTTGGCTCTATACCTTCTATGTCCATTTAAGAACTCATTTCTGTGTGGATTTTATTGAAAAACATTGATCAAAGGCACACAAAAAAAGTAAATTTTCACTTTCCATGAATTTAACTCAAATAAAAAAAAACATTCCCAAACTATGTACGTGGGTAGTTGGCGGGTGCTCTGGTGTGGTTTGCTCCTTCTTTTTTGTGTTTGTTACTCTCTTGTAACACCCCTAATCTTCGGATTTTATATGACTGTATTGTGTCGCAAGTACTGTAAAATTCTTACTAAAACTAAAGCTAAACTATCTCTCCTCCTCCTTTTTTGTGTTTGTTACTCTCCTGTAACACCCCTAATTTTGGCCACTTATATGACCTTATTGTGTTTCAAACGCTGTAAAACTAAAACTCTACTCAAACCAAACAAAACATCCCCAAACAATGTGCTCACTGGTGCGATGTATACTTCCCTTACACAGAGACCCGACCTTTGACCCTGAGGAAAAGATCTGTGCAGACGATGCTGAGGGTGGTGCAGTTCCTGAGGAAACAGACTCGACCCGCCCTGAAGTAAGATGGCCGCTCTCTGTGTGTGTGTTGTGATTTGTTCTGAAAGTTCTACTTTCTGCCCTAACTTGTGTTTTACTTTAAAAATAATTTTACAATGGTTCAGATTTTCTGAAAGTTCTACTTTCTGCCCTAACTTTTGTTTTATTTAAAAATAATTTTACAATGGTTCAGATCTTCTGAAAGTTCTACTTTCTGCCCTGTCTTCTCTTATTTTTAAAATGATTTACCATAGTCCAAATCTTCTGAAAGCTATGCTTTCTGCTCTGTCTTGGAATCAGGCTTTCGTCAATTTTTGGACATGTAGAGTTTTTGGTGTCATCTTAAAGCTTGTTCTCTTGTCTTTATTTCAATTTTTAAAATATCCATTTACCTTGAATACAAGTCGATATATTTGCGAATGAAGGAGGTGGGGTAACCTGTTTTTAGAGGTAAAATTAGTGAGAAAATGGCCGCCAAAGATTAGTTATTTCCTCAGTTTAAGAGTTCGTGGTAACTGAAAATGTACATTTTTTGTGCCTTTAATCAACGTTTTTCAGAAAAATCCACACAGAAATGAGTTCTATAATGGGCATGAAAGGTGTTGAGCTAAAAATAAAAAATTTGAAAAAAATTCACAAACCTGCGGAAAAATGCAAGTTTTTTTCACTTTGATTATTTTGACGAGAGCCTGATTCCACCGCGCTGCCTCACATTTTAAAAATGATTTACCATGGCCCAAATCTTCTAAAAGTTGTTCTTTTTGCCCTGTCTTCTCTTATTCCTATCATGTTAGTATTGTCCCAATCTTCAGGAGGTTGCAGTTTTTGCTGTGTTTTGTCCCAACCGTCAGATTGGTATTTCTAAGAGAGTTAGTAGTAGAGTACAACTAATAGGCTTTACTTCTTTTCCGTCCCTCTCTTGTTTCTTTCTGTGTGTTGAATTTTTTTTTAGCATTAGATTATCGTTGTTGTAGCCAACAAAACTTTAAATTGCATTTACCATTGTCGGCTTGTGGCTGGAGATCCTAATGCTTTTTTTCTCCTCTGTTGTTTCTGTCTGTCTTACTTTTGCTTGTTATTGTGTCAATATTGTTCTCTTTAACTAACATTCATGGGTGGTTGGCGGTGGCGGATGCTCTGGTGTGGTTTGCTCCTTCTTTCCTGTCGTACATCTTTCATTCTTATCTTGCCTTCTTTTTTTCGTCTTTGTTGCTCTCCTGTAACACCTCTACTCTTCAGCACTTATATAACTTAATTGTATTGAAAGGACTGTAAAACGCTTGCTAAATCAAAAAGCTAAATGATCGTTTTTGTGTCGATGTGCTCTGTAACTATAATTCCGATTGATTCTGCCCCCTTTTAGACGTGGCGTGCCTCAAACAGAGTGGCAGAACAACTTCTGGCTGGACGTGGATTACCTCGAGGTGGCCAGGGCAGCTCAGTTCTGTTCCGCTCACTTCTCTGCCATTCTCTTCACGGAAATCTGGTGGGAGCGTGTGAGGTAATTTAAAAATTCTTTTTCTATTTCAATGGCATGAAATTGTCTGGAGATTATTGAATTCTTCATATTTTATTTTGAATGCAGTACCTAATATTACTTGATATGAAAATGGACTTTAAGACGACTGTATATTTTGTTTGAAGATTATTTTATCTTGTTTTTCTTCTATTTTTGTCATGTTTCATTTGAGTCTTATTACCTGATGTTTAACCGACTTGAAACTGGTCTTTTAGACAACTGTATATTTAAGTCTTGTTGAGGTTGTCTTTGTTTTTGTTTTAAATGTATCATTTTATAGGTCATTGCCCGTAGCCTACTGCCATATCGAGATGTGTAAAGATGCTTCATATTGGGTTAGTGGATCTGGGACTAAATCTTTTTACTGCATTCACCCTCTGGTTGAGAAAAGCAGGATTGTCTCTTACACTTACACATTCCCTCTCAAGATACACCTGAACTGTACAGGTGTCTGAACATTTTGATTTTGTATCAGATTTATGTTCTGGACCTTAAAGGTCATGTAATAGAATTATAGAAACCAAAATGATGGTATGACACTCTGTCCATGTATCTGGATGAAATAAGTGTATCCATTGCAGGTTTTCGATAAAAATGAGGAATCAACATGCACTATAAATAGTATACATATGTGAGGCATCATGGTGAAATCAGGCGCTCGTCAAAATACTGAAATCGAGGAAACTAGCATTTTTCTGCCAGTTGGAAATTTTTGGGGGAATTTTGTTTTTTTCGGCTCAACACCTTTTATGTGAGTTTAAAAACACAAGATTTATGTGTCGATTTTACTGAAAAACGCTGGTTAAAGGCACGAAAATCGCAGATTTTCAGTTTCCAAGGTCTATCAAGCTTTGGAAATCATCGAACTTTGGTGGCCATTTTCTCGTTTATTTTATCTCTGAAACACTATTGGAGTGTGTCGTAGCTCCACTATTGGAATGTGTCATAGCTCTATGGTTAGAGAATAACACTATTGGAATGTGTCATAGCTCTATGGTTAGAGAATAACAGTATTGGAATGTGTCATAGCTCTATGGTTAGAGAATAACGCTATTGGAATGTGTCGTAGCTCCACTATTGGAATGTGTCATAGCTCTATGGTTAGACAATAACACTATTGGAATGTGTCATAGCTCTATGGTTAGAGAATAACACTATTGGAATGTGTCATAGCTCTATGGTTAGAGAATAACACTATTGGAATGTGTCATCCTTAGGGAGGAGACGTCTCTACCCTCCACGGGCTCCAGCTCCCACACACAGAGTGACAGCCAGCAGTCGGCCCTTGACCCCTTGACCCAGGTCAGCTCGCAGGGTTCAGGAGGTCAGGGTGCCCAGAGGCTGCTGCTGGAGGTGTACTGGAGCATCGGGGACCCGGACGGGATCTACGGCTGTGGGGCCGGGCGCCAGGCGGATCCCAGCACGAGGTGAGGGCTGGTTGTCTTATTGTATGCCAGTTGGGGCGGGGGTGTAACTTTTTGTCATTGTCGTTGTGGCTGTTGTTTGTTGTCATTTCTGTTCAAGTAAGGAAATGTTTGAGCCAACACTATCTGAGGACTTGTTTTATGTTGTATGTCGATTGGGGTTGTTGTAACTTTTTGTTGTTGTTGTTGCTGAATTGTTGTTGTTGAAGTTTTTGTTATTGTTGTTGTTGAAGTTTTTGTTATTGTTGTTGTTGCTGTCCAAGTAAGGAAAACCCCCCGGGGCGGTGCCACTGACTGAAGTGTCTTTAGGCCATTCCCAAAGGGGGGAGGGGGGGGGGGGGAGAGGACATTTCTAGTTCTAATGCACAGTAGAATTGTAAATGGGCTGATCCAAAAATGTTATGCTCATAACTGTGCTTGATCTACAACAGGGAACTGCTGCTTTTTCTTTCCAAATCCTTACTATCGTCATTTTCCTCTACTTCTTTTGTATGTTTGTCACACTCTTGTGACACACTATTTCCGGGGTGCCTTGATAGTCAAAGCAGACTTTGTGCTGTTGAAGCTAGGGAGGTGAGCAGAGCAAGTCTGATTCCTTGTAAGGACTTCTCTATTGACATCCACCCTTTGGCGCTCATATGACCTTATACAGTTGCGAACGCCGTAAAACCTCTACTAAAACTAAAAAACAAGTAAGGAAAAGTTTGAGCCAGCACTAGGTGAAGACTGTGTTTTCATTTTATACACCGGTTGGGGCAGGATATAACTTTGCTTTTTTTTTTTCTTTTTTCTTTCCATCAATGTAATTGTAGAATGGAGATCTACCTTTATGTGTGAAATATGACGACATGTTTTTGACCATGTTGTCTGTCTTTTGATTCATGTAATTGCAGAATGCAGACGTACCTCCATGAGCTCCAGTACGAGAGAGCCCTGACCACTCAGGACATGGCGGTCACTCACGGGACGACCTCATCTCCCATGTCTTTGTTGCAAGTAAGACGTTTCAGTCGTTTTAATTCCTCAAATATTTTGTGTACAGGTTCATCTAGATATGACTCTACGGAACATTACAGCAACTGCAGCAAACCTGCACTTATCACTACATGGCATTGGACAGAAGGGCGAGAGCCCAGATGTTGCTGGATCGATAACAACAACAACAACAACAACATCTAGATATGAAGTTTCTTTGTTTGTTTGGGGTTTATTTTGGGGGTGGGGGGTTGGCGTGTTTGTTTGTTTTTTTGGGAGGAGTGTTTATGTGGTTTGCCATTTCTTTCCTATTTTCCTATCAAACATATATCGTCCTTATCTCTTCCCTACTGTTTTGTGTTTGTTACTCTCTTGCAACACCTCTGATCTTTTACATTATTATGATTTGAATTGTGTTGCAAGTGGCGTAAAATGCTAACCAAAACTAAACGGTCTTTCCCTCTGTTGTTTCTATCTGTCTGTTTTCCCTGCCTTAAATGACTATATCCTATTGTTGATGTGCTTCTCTTTACTCAGGCAGAGGGTGGTTGACGGGTGCTCTGGTGTGGTTTGCTTCTTCTTTCCTATGAAACATCTATCGTCCTTATCTCTCCTCCTTTTTTCTGTTTGTTACTCTCTTGTAACACCTCTAATCTTCTGGCGCTCATATGACCTTATGCAGTTGCGAGCGCCGTAAAACCTCTACTAAAACTAAAACGGCTTACCAAAACTAAACGGTCTTTCCCTCTGTTGTTTCTGTCTACCTGTCTGCTTTCCCTGCCCTAAATGACTATATCGTTTAATTGATGTGCTTCTGTTTACTCAGGTAAACAAGCGAAAGTAAATCACTTGTATGACCTAATTGTGTTGCAAGTGCTGTAAAACTCTTACTAATCCCAGAGAATAGCACAATTGGAATGTGTCATAGCTCTATGGTTAGAGAATAGCACTATTGGAATGTGTCGAAGCTAAACTGAACCTGTACCGTTTGTTCAGACCCTCCACATGTGTGGTATGGACTACAGCCTACAGGGCTGTCTGGAGGGCCTGCAGAGACTGGCCGAGTATCCCCCTCCTCCCGTTCCCCCCACCTCCACTACAGAGCAGACCTCAGCACTGTCGGCCGCGGCGTTGTACAACTGTGCCGAGATAGAAGAGCTCCAGTTCCAAGCGGCGTGGGAGCTGGGGCGCTGGGACATCCGGGAAACGCTCAAGTAGGTCCCAGTTTTTCTACTGTGTGTGGCGTGGCGCACGGGGTTCTTTTTGGTTGTTTTTTTTCAGTGTATGGAGTATAGGGGTTGTTTTGTTTGTTGTTTGTTTGTTGTTTGTTTTGTTTTTTGGGGGGGGAGGGGATTATTTCAGCGTGTGGTATACAGGTGGGTTTTTTTTTCAGTATATGAAGTACAGTTTTTTGTGGTTTTCTTCAGTATATGAAGTACAGTTTTTTTGGGGGGTTTTCAGTATATGAAGTACAGTTTTTTGGGGGTTTTTTCATTATGAGGTGTACAGGTATTTTTGTTGGTTTTCAGTCTGCGACGTAAAGGTTTCTTTTTTTTTTTCAGTATGTGGATTACATGTTTCTTCTCGTATATGGCGTAAAGGTTTTTTTTTATTTAACTGTGCTATTGGTTCATGTGTGTACTTAATCGTTTATTTTGCTTCCAAAGTGAGCGTAAAGGTTTAATGCCCCCTTCAACATTATTGGAACCATCTTAATGCTTGTTCATTTGTCTATCTTTTGATGAAAACAAAATCCTTGTATCTTCTATGCAAGTCGAGATATTTGCGATTGAAGGAGTGTTGGGGGTCACCTGGTTTCTGCAGTAAAATAAGCGAGAAAATGGCTGCCAGTAAAATCCACACAAAAGTGTGTTTTTAAATGGTCATAAAGGGTAATAAATAGGCCCAAAAATTTCGATAAAAATTGCCAAACTGGCAGGAAAATGGCGCTATCTTCGATTTCATTATTTTGACGAGCGCCTGATTTCACAACGATGCCTCACATGTTGTTGTGAATGGTTGAGAAGGCCACTAGTGGATCCTACTACTTTTCCCTTCTTTCCATAGTTTCTGTCTGTCTTTACTGCTTTTTCCTAGCAGTGTCATTGTGCTTCTCTTTTCTGAAACAAGCAAACTATAGATTGTGACGATTGTCTTCAAATTCTGGGTTAAAAAAAAAATATCCATGTATTTCTGTTTGGTTTTAAGGCAAAGCAGGCCGGAGAGCTATCACCAATCCGTGTACAGAGCTCTGAGTTCTCTCAGGGATGGACATCTGAAAGTTGCTGAGCACGCTGTCAATTCTGCAAGGTAAAACCCTGACACTGCCCATTTACCTGTGGTAAAGAAGTTTCATTATGGTTGTTTTCCTGACAGCTTTGGTGTTTCTCTTTTTTGAAATCATAACTAATGTTGTTTTTGTTCTAAGTCATGTTTAAAACATGTATTATGAAGTACTGTACCTTTTGTGGCAAAACTTAATTTTGTAACGTTGATTATATGCATTGGCTGGGAAGGTTGTTTTCAAAACATACGTGTTCATTACTGCCAACATTATGTACATAACCTAAACTTAGTATAATTGCAGAGAAGGTTATTTATTAAAACATGTGTCTTTGCTCATGTGAAAGGATATTTTGGAAATATGATTGATGTATGTTGATCTATTAGATACAAATATTATGTGTTTGCATATATTCAGGCGCTTTCTTGTTAAAGTGATAGTTAACTGCCTTATATTTATAAGTTTAGTTAGAGTTTTATGGAACTTATGACAATATAAGGTCATATGGGTGCCGAAGATTAGAGGTGTTACAATAAAGTAACAAACTCTAAAATGAAGGAGGGGAGATCAATACCTTATACCAGGGATGGAAATTTTCCGTAAATTTACGTTAATCAGTAATTTTGATTTGCTTTGTCTTTTTTCGAAAGTGTCCTTTCAATGGTGAGTCGTTTTACTATGTGTATCAATCTGCTCTTGAATAAGTGTATTTGTTCAAATCTGTTTAGCCCGTAGAAAGTTCAGTAAATTTTGGACTGGTCAGTTTCCATCTCTGTAAGACGTTTGATAGGAAAGAAAGAGCAAACCAGTCCAGAGCACCCACCAACCACCCACATATTTATCGGGAGGGTAAAGGATAAAGTTTCACCATTTCATGATGGTTTTTAAAATGTGTTTTGTTTTTGTATTGTTCAGGATGAGTATCATGGCACAGTTTGAGTGTGGAGCAGAGAGCTGTGAGAGCCTGTACCCGTTCCTGTCGCAGCTACAGTGTCTCAGCCATCTCGACCGGGCCGTGCAAAGCTGTGCTCGTGTGGGAGACAGCAGGTGAGGGTCACGACAAGCCCATCGGTGTGTAAATTGACTGTTTATTTTAGGACTCCTCCAAAATAATAATAATAATGATATTAATACGGTACAGCCTCTCCATAACGACATCGTCGGGACCAGAAAAAAATATCGTTATAGAGAGTCGTCATTACAGAGAGGCAGCCAGAAATTACTAATGATATATAAGGGGAAAAAACGGGGACCTTGGCACCATGTCGCTATACAGAGGATGTCGTTATATCAAAGGTCGTTATAGAAAGGCTGTACTGTAATAATACTCGCATGTATATAGCTCACATCCTTGCTCTACGGCATGCTCTATGTGCTGTACAATCATTATTGTCCCGAGAAGAACATTCAGAAACATTCTCAGCTTCCAGGGAAGCATACAGTGCTAGCTGCAGATTGCACATGCTCAAACACTAACATTCTGACAAGATCTTTTGCTGTCTATAGCTGGCTAACCATTCTTTCCCACCTGGTTAAAGTGAGGAAAATATGTGTAAAGTACCTTTCCCAAGTAGTGTGGCTGACGGGATTTGAACCCATGACCTTACGGTTGCTAGTCTGGGAGCTTAACCACTAGGCCACTTACAACCATGCACCATTTTGAAAAGTGATGAGTGACTGTCTTACTCTGAGCGGTTGAATTATATAGAGATGGAATAGATATATATATATATATAGACATGAATATTGACATAGATGGTTTTAGAGAAACCTTAAAGCTGGTTTCTTGAAAATTTTCACTGTAAAAAAAAAACCTATCTGATTTAAATGGGGCTTTTTCCTCGGATAATGGATACACATAAAAAAAAAAATTGGGGGTAAACAGCAAAAAGTGACTCAGAAGGCTATCGTGCTACGACTGTAACGCCCTATTGTTTTCCAGCCCGGAGGAATCCACACTGGGTCAGCAGCTGAGTTGGAGCGTGTCCCAGCGCGGCAGGGGAGCCGTCAACTTCAAACACGAGCGACCGTTGCTGCAGTTGCTGTCCTCTCTTGGTGGCGCCCTGAGCAACCGCGGGGAGGGAGGAGGAGGAAGAGGAGGTGGAGAGGTGCTGGAGACCACAGCTCTGTGGACTTTGGCTGTGTCTGCCCGGAAGGCTGGACAGTTTCAGGTGCGTTTTGGGGGAACGAAAAGTGACGTTTCACACACACACGCGCATGTGCACATGCACGCACACACACACACACACAAATACACATGAACACATACTCATCATTATTATTATTATTATGTTTATTATTATCATTATCATCATCAGTATTATTATTTTATGCACATGCACACATACACACACAAACACACATACACAAGCAAACAAACACACACACACACACACACAAATACACATACACGTACACACGCTCATTATTATTATTGTTATTGTTATTATAATAATTATTATTATCATTATCATTATCATCAATATTATTATAATTGTCTTTATTATTATTTGTTTTTAATCTTTATTATTTTATCATCTATTTATTGTATTTACCATTCTTATTTACCAGCTTGCATTCTCTACTTTCTGTATTCTTTTTTGTTTGTTTGTGTGTGTTTATGTGTTTGTGTGTCTGGCCTGACAGCTGGCAGAGAAGGCGGTCTACGAGCTGAAGAGAAAAGCGAGCCTGATCGTGCACGTGGGTGCGGAGAAGTTACAGCTGGAGGAAGCGCGGCTGTTCTGGGCGCGGGCCGAGAGCAATATCGCGCTCAACATCATGCAGAACCTCATCAAAGATATGACACAGGTTTGTTGCTATAATTTAATGTCGCTCTCTGTATCGGAACCTCATCAAAGATATGACGCAGGTTTGTTGCTATAAAACCCGACATTGCTCTCAGTATCGGAACCTCACCAAAGATATTATGCAGGTTTGTTTTATTAATTTAACATCGCTCTCAATATCGGAACCTCCTCAAAGACATGGCGCAGGTTTGTTTTTATTAGGGCTAAACGTGGCTCTCGTATCAACATTTCACCAAAGACATGACGTAGGTTTCTATAATTCAACATCGCTCTCAGTATCAGAACCTCCTCAAAGATATGACACAATGTTTGTTATTATTATAACTAAACATGCCTCTCAGCATCAGAATTTCATCAAAAATATGACGCAGGTTTGTTGCTATAAAACTCAACATTACTCTCAGTATCAGAATCTGGTCAAAGATATGACGCCAGTTTGTTTGTATAGCTCAACATTGCTCTCAATACCATGCAGAATTTCATCAAAGATATGATACAAGTTTCTTCCCCTAACTCAACGTCACTCTCAATATCAGAATTTCATCTAAGATATGACGCAAGTTCGTTTCTATAACTCACCATTGCTCTCAAAATGCAGAATCTGATCAAAGATATGACGAAAGTTTGTTTCCATTACTCAACATTGCTCTCAATATCGTAAACTTCCCAGTCACATATGGATCTACTCCTTCAAAAGCAGAAGGATATTTTCATTGAGAAGAAAAGTCTCCCTCCCTGGATTAAATTTAACACTTACTATCTTTAATATACACAAATGGTCACTAATAAAAACAATTAGGAAGAGACGATTACAATTACTAGAGCACTTGTGTGGACATAGAAGAAGTCTTGAAGATCTTGCTGTAACTGAGAAAACAGAAGGTTAAAGAAACGAATAACTTACGTAAAGAAATTGCACTGATTGGTGACTTGGAACGACCAGGACAATATTGGTCTTTTTAGAATATCTAAGCAGAGATGTGAGTGGCGAACGGCGAACCCTGGTGGCTGATGTCTCTCTCAGATCAGGCACTTGAAGAAGGTGAAGGATACGCATCCATTGTGTTGACCATTTGTTTTCTCTCTCCAGGATGTGATAGCCAAGAACCCCCCGCTGTATCCAGAGGTTCTGAGCACATACGGCAACTGGCTCGCAGAGACCAAATCGGAGACCCCAAGTGTCATCATCAGTGACTTCCTGCAGAAGGTTGTTCTATTTCCATAGGTTCTTCACTTTAAAAAACTGTAATCGTATGTTTTACACCCATATAGATACTATTTAGATAATTTTATTATAAAATTGATCTATTTGACGTTTTTTTTAGTCCTTTTCTTCCCATCTGTCTCTCTGTTGCTTGCACATAAAGTGCTAGAAATATTGAGCAGGAAACAAAGGGTTAATGTTTCTGAGACAGTGATTGTGATAGTAGATATTTAAAGAAGATAAAAGACAAGACAAAAGATGGAAGAGGTACTGAGAGACAGAGAGAGAGAGAAAGAGTGATAAAGCGAGATGTGTGATATTCTTTACTGTTAAACCCAACTGTTGCAAGTGCCGTAAGACTCTTACTTACCCCCGGGGCGGTCCTACTGACTGAAGTGTCTGTAGGCCTTTCCCAAAGAAGGGACATTAACCATGTTCTTATACACAGTAGAATTGTAATTGTAAATGGGCTGATTCATCAATGCCATGCTCATAACTGTGCCTGAACTGCAACAGGGAACTGCTGCTTTTCTTTCCTAATCCTTACTATAATCATTTTTCCTGTACTTATTTTGTATGTTTGTCATACTCAGACTCTTATGCCACAGTTTCTTCCGGGATGCCTCGATAGTCGAAGCAGACTTTGTGCTGTTGAAGCTAGAGAGGTGAGCAGAGTAAGTCTGATTCCCCTTGGCGCTCATATAGCCTTATGCAGTCGCGAGTGCCGTAAAACCTCTACTTAAACTAAAACCTAACCAGGGTGAAATCATTTTCTTAAATCGGCCAATTTTGTCGCTGCCCAAGTTTCAACAGGCGTATATTTCTGCAGACTGTGGACACTATCCTAGAGCAGTCATTATCAGAGGACAGCAGTGCGAGTTCATGGACTAAAACAGCCTTGGAAGGATTTGCGTCGCTCGCCCGTTTTGCCGACGAGCAATACCAACTGCTGGCCGACTACATGAAGTCTCCCATGTACGAAACCAAGCGAGACCTACTGCGGCGCTCGCGCTCCGAGCTTGAGGAGTGCCATCAGTTCAAAGGAGCAAGGTGAAATCTGTTCGTTATTAGATAATTATTGTTCTCATAGGCCACAGCAGAAGCCACAAGTCATCCTAACCTTTAATTTTTCTAACTCTTCTGTTTTGCTGGAGAAATATTCTCCTCTGCGGATGTAATTGTCACCGTCAAAAATGACGGAAAAGCTTTTTTTTTTATATAGACTATAGCAGATGACAGTCAGCTGAACAAATTGTGTGGGTTGAGTAGATGGCTTTGTGTGACTGGCTATCCTTCATAAAACCTACCATATAGAAAGGGAAAATCATAAGAGCCTCAGCAGATTGCCTAGCTTTTTATACACGCCGCCTGTCTATTTTACATTCAGTTTGAAATATACTGTATTCATGTTGCGCTCATGTCATGTAAACTTTTTTGTTCATTGCTTATTTCATCACATCTGTACCCTCTGAGTGGGCCCAACGAGAGACTTTAGTACATTTTTGTTGTTGTTTTTGTGGTTAGTATTTGTTGGTTTCGTTCTTTTTGGCTTTGTATATCTTTCTCAGCGTGTCCAGTTCTGTGAGCCGTTAAATTTTGTGCTTGCTTCTTCTTTTCTTGTCACATTTGTTGGGCATTGTGTCTGTGTGTGTTGAGGGGATCGTGCCAAAAGGTCTTGACCGCCGACATCTTTCTTCAATGGCAGAACTGTTTGGAGAAGAGGAGTAAAAGTTTGGGTGGGGGGGGGGGGTTTGCACAGTTTTTATGTTGGCAAACATCGTTCGCGGGTGGCTGGCAGGTGCTCTGATGTGATTTGCGTCCTTCTTTCCTATCAAACATCTATTGTCTTTATATTTCTTCACTTCTTTTTTTTTGTGTTTGATACTCTCTTGTAACACCTTTAATCTTTGGCACTTATTTTATGACCTTATTGTGTTGCAAGTGCCGGAAAACTCTTATTAAACTGAAAAGTAAAACATTGTTCTGTCCACAGCAAGTATCTCAAAGTGATGGAAAAGACCTCTGCTATTGATGAACAAGAGTTGGAAGCCCTGGAAAACGACTGTCAGAGATATTTGCATCAGGCTCTGGAGAACTACTTGAGATGTCTGAAAACTGGTGACCTGTATGACCTAAAAATTTTCCGAGTTGTATCCCTGTGGTTTGACAACTGTTCCAGCTTGGAAGTTAATCAAATGATAGAGGTAAGTGTCCGAAGAATTCTTGTCCCAGGTTTTTGCTGGCTGGATAAAAATCTTGATTGTGTTTATGTGTGTGTGTGTGTGTTTGTATATTATTTGTTTATGTATATTCGTGTGCGCGGATGTGTGTTTATGTGTGTGTGTGTGTGTGTGTGTGTGTGTGTGTGTGTGTTGCAATTATACTTCTCTTGTATGCAAAGATAGCTTTTATGATAAATGTATTTTTGTTTTGTCCCTAGCTATTTTTTTTTAAAAATGTAGATATTTACTTTCGAAAATATGGGTATGCAGAGATTAAGTGAATGCACAATTTCTTATTTTCATCTCAAGTAATTATCATTGGCCACATAATTAGAGCAGATGGACTAGAGAAACTGCTGCTGAGTGGAAAGATAGAGAGAAAGAAGAGTAAATGAAGATAAAGAACAACACACACAGATGGCTCACCTCTCTAGCTTTGCAGCGAATAAAACAAGGAGAAAAAGCGAGCTGATTAAGAAGACAAGAGTACAAGAAAGGAGGGGGGTACCATGATCGCCAATGTCGGCTCCAGACCTGACACCTGAAGAAGAAGAATTATCTTTGAATTTCATGCTTGGTGCAGGAAAATGATGAACTTTCCCCTTTAAATTAGTTTTTTTTCTCTTGTTTCTCCTGGAATCCTGTTTGCAGGTGGTTAGCAGGTGCTCTGGTGTGGTTTGCTCCTTCTTTCCCATCAAACATGTATCATCCTTATCTCTCCTCCAACCCCCGGGGCCAGTGCTGCCGACTGAAGTGACTTTAAGCCATTCCCAAAGGGGGGACATTAACCCGTTCTTATGTACAGTAGAACTGTAAATGGGCTGATTCATCAATGTCATGCTCGTAACTGTGCCTGAACTGCAACAGGGAACTGCTGCTTTTTCTTTCCTAATCCTTCCTATCGTCATTTTTTCCTCTACTTCTTTTGTATGTTTGTCACACTCTTGTGACCCTGCTATTTCTGGGGTGCCTTGATAGTTGAAGCAGACTTTGTGCTGTAGAGGCTAGAGAGGTGAGCAGAGTAAGCCTGATTCCCCGTTTGGACTTCTTTGTTGACATCCACCCCTTGGCTCTCATTTGACCTTATGCAGTTGTGAGTGCCGTAAAACCTTACTAAAACAAAAGAAGAAGTAACGGTTAAGATGATGTGTTGCTTCTGCTGTGCCTGATGAGATCATTTCTGGCAAAGAAAAGTTTGCCACTTTTTGTAACATTTCAAAGCTCCACTAAAACTGTTACTCAAACTAAAGGAAAGAATTCTGTTTCAGGATTACTCTGCCAGCATCCAGTCCCACAAGTTCTTGCCTCTGTACTACCAGCTGGCTGCTAGGATGAGCACCAGACCTACGGACGGAGGTCACTTTCAAGCCGTTTTGGCCAAGGTACTTCATTGCTGCTGCTGCTGGTGGTGGTGTTGTTGTTGGTGGTGGTGGTGGTGTTCTTGTTGTTGTTATTGCTGTTACTGCTGCTGGTGGTGGTGTTGTTGTTGTTGTTGTTGTTGTTGTTGGTGGTGGTGGTGTCGTTGGTGGTGTTGTTGTTGTTGATCCAGAAACACCTGGGCTTTTGCCATTTTGACTAATACTCTGTAGTGATAAGTGCAGGTTTGCAGCAGTTGCTGTAATGTTCTATAGAGTGTGTTGTCTATGTTAGGTCTCGGAGGGAGAAGTGTATCTCTGATGTCATTAAGTGGGCCATGCAGTGGATCAGGTGATGATCCCCTCTCTCGTATATGTAGTCACGTAAAGAACATGTTGGGGAAAGTTTCGATACTTCATTGTATCGAGCATTTATTTTCCGCGAGTGCAATTCCCCAGAAGTTAAAAATTGAAGCGTTTTCAGCAAATTTGAAAATATTGGTCTTTGGGGGGGGGGGGGGGGTGTTCACACTTAAGTTGACGTTTCCTTTATTTGAATGGGGGGGGGGGCGGGCGGTTGAGCCCTTCCAGTGGTCTTCCCACATGATTGGTATTGTCCCCTGTGGTACTTTGTTATAAAAAGGAGTTTAAAAATGTCCTCTTGGTAGAGGGGAAAATAGAGATTTTTATACTTTCTAATATCCGTTTTGTGTTCTTTGCGGAAATTGTTTTCCTGTCTGTGCATGGATTGAAAGGGATGAGGAGATTGGGGGGCTGATATTGTGTGTTTGTAATGTGTGCTGTGAGGTTTGCTGACATTTTGCTGGGTAGTGCAAAACCTAAAAGAACATTTTTGAGTTCTCGACAGATCATGAGTGTAATAGAATAAACCTTATTGAATATTAGTTTATAGTCCAAGGGACACGACCAGGCAATTAAGTGTAAGTTATTAATTAAAAAGATTGTTAGCCCTTGTAAGAACTACAGGAAGTACGGAAGATAAATAAACATACATGGCAGATAACTAGCAGGTGTTTGTACTTTGTATCCACTACAATGAGGACATTCTTTCTACTCTCTTGTCCCTTGTCGTAGCTAATGGAACGCGTCGCCCAGGAACACCCGCACCACGCCCTGTGGGTCATCATGGCCCTCGCTCACGCCTACAAGGACGACGAACTGCTGCAAAAAGACAAACCCTCGAGGATGAGGAAGAGGAAGAGTACAGAGGAAGAAGAAGTGGCTGAAGAAGTAATGTCTTTTTTTTGTTTCTTTCTACTTCCTTTGTAGGGATGAGATGAGTAAAATAAAAAAGGAATAAGTGGCTGAAGAAGTAATGTCTTTTTTTTGTTTCTTTCTACTTCCTTTGTAGAGATGAGATGAATAGAATAAAAAAGGAATAAGTGGCTGAAGAAGTAATGTGGGGGTTTTGTGAGTTGTTTTTTTTTACTACCATTGTAGGGATGAGATGAGTAAAATAAAAGTGATTAAGTCGCTTCTTTCTACTTCTTTTCAATGTTACCATTAAAGACTGTCTGTACTTACGCAAAAGTAGCCAGTTTCATGCGTACTTACCTTTAATCACCACTGAAGCACCACTGAAGGGACTACTATTTGCTTTAACCCTCTCCACTTATATCTTCCCTTCATGTATATATTTATTGATAATGGTATGTGTTATTTCAGTGCTCAAACAACAGTCAATCCACCATACTGCTGCCCATAAATAAGTGAAGTTTATTTTGAAAAAAGTTAGGCATTGATTTTTTATCTACTTTTTTGTCTTGAAACCCTTCTTGCATGAAAATTTTTATTTTTTCTAAGCATGCTATGACTGTATTCAACTGACATGAAACTTGTTCTTCTTTGTAAACACCGCCAGGACCGTATTCAAGCTGCCAAAATCCTCATAGAACAGCTCAAAGGTTCTGAACGTCTGGGAGAAATCGTCAAGAACATGGAGCTGCTGTGTGTGGCCTATATTCAGCTGGCCAACTGGTCCGTGGAGCAATACAAGACGGAGAAACGTAGGCCCTTGTGTTGGAGTTGTGTGACAGCATCCTTTGTCGACAGTTTTTCTTTCCTTGTGTGACCGCATCCTTAGTTGTCAGTTTTCTTTCTTTGTGTGAACACATCCTTAGTTGTCAGTTTTCTTTCCTTGTGTGGGAGTTGTGTGAACACATCCTTAGTTTGTCAGTTTTCTTTCCTTGTGTGGGAGTTGTGTGAGCACATCCTTAGTTGTCAGTTTTCTTTCCTTGTGTGGGAGTTGTGTGTACACATCCTTAGTTGTCAGTTTTCTTTCCTTGTGTGGGAGTTGTGTGAACACATCCTTAGTTGTCAGTTTATTTTCCACCACGTTTGTTGGCAAACTGGTCGAATGTTGAAGCCCAGAAAGCAATATTTTTCAGGGGAAAAAAGTGTTTCATTCTTTTAAAGGTGATACCTAAATTGCATATAATATATGTTTTCTTGCTTTTTTTCAATGCTTAGAATCTGAATTTCGACCAAATATTACTGGAGCTCTTCTTATACCACAGATTAAGAAAATGCAATTACAAGATTAGAAATTTAGGGCCCGTTACATCTGAACAGCTGGCGGAGGATATCTGTTCAAACTGCTGATGTTGTTGTAATTGTTATAATGTGTTAAGTGACCTGTCTTTTACCAAGTGTAAATTACGCGTAATGACAATGAATAAGGTTTGACTGTGATATGCATTGAGCATTAAAAATCAGAAATTTATTATTATTATAACTTCTGAACCAGTCTGTTTTTTCCAAGAGAATGAGAAGGGGATATATAGATATATATGTCTGTATGTAGTAGTAGTATAGGGTTTTACGGCGCTCGCAACTGCTAAGGTCATATGAGCGCCCATATGTCTGTATATTAGAACGGGGGTTCGAATTGCCCCCCCCCCCAAAAAAAAACAAAAACAACAACACACCCCCCAAAAAAAAATCAAAATCAAAACTACTATAGGAGCATAAACTGAATGCTATCTGTGAAATTTGAAATTCCTTTCGTTCTTGTTTTGTTTCTTTTGGTTTGCTTATTTATTTCTTTTCTTACATTTTCTCTTAAAGGCTACTGTAAGCCTAGGGAGTTGAAGAGTGAACAAGAATTTGTTCAAATTGAGGTGGGTGGTTGGCGGGTGCTCTGCTTCTTCTTTCCTATCAAACATCTATCGTCCTTATCTCCCCTCCTCCTTTTTTATGTTTGTTACTCTCTTGTAATTCCTCTGATCTTCTGGCGCTCATATGACCTTATGCAGTTGTGAGCGCCGTAAAACCTCTACTAAAAAATATTTTAAAATTGAGCCCAGAAATCCTGTGATGTAAGGCCCACTCTTGAAGTGATGCATTTACGGCTAGCATAGTGCCAAATTAGTACAAAAACTTACTGCTGTCAGTCATGTATTTATGTGTAGCATAACACGAAGTTAGTATAAAATCTTACCACTGTCAGTCACATATTTATGTCGAGCATAGCTTTTAGTTTGCAAAATAGCAAACAACTGACCGTGACATATTTTAATGCTTTGTGAAATTTTCCAGGTCCCGTGCCTCTGCTCAAGCAGCTCATGATTACCAAGATTTCCAGACTGGACAATGTTCAGATGCCATCCGTGGAGCTGAAGGTACTTTCATCTTTTTTTCTCCTCCTCTGTCAGAAACCGTTGCTTGAGAGATTTGTATTTTTCTCGCAAACGTAAAACAGGTTTCTTCTCATGCACTAGCAAAAACATTTTCTTCTTTTTTTCCGCTTTTTTCCTCTCTCTCTCTCTCTCTCTCTCTCTCTCTCTCTCTCTCTCTCTCTCTCTCTCTCTCTCTCTCTCTCTCTCTCTCTCTCTCTCTCTCTCAGTGCTGAACATACGACGCTGGCGCAATGTTCAAATGTCTTCCGTGGACCTGAAGGTGTTTACATCTTTTATTCTCCTCCTCTGTCAGAAACCGTTGCTTGAGAGATTTGTGTTTTTCTCGCAAGCGTAAATTACGTTTCTTTTCGTGCACTATCTGAATGGTGTCATTTCAGTAGGGCAAATTTCTTTTCTTCTTTTTGCCACAGATGTGTGTGGAAGAGAGGATGTGTGAGGGAAGAGTTTGTGTGTATATGGGTGTGCACATGTATGTGTGCGCATGTTTGTGTGTGTGAGTGTGCACGTGCGCGCTTGTGTGTGTGATTGTGTGTGTGTGTGATGTGTTTACAGGGTGATACAGCAAACCAATGTGCCAGGATCTGGATAATAAAGATGTGTTTTATCTAATCTTATTTTATTTTCACTCCTTTTCTCTCTGTGGCTTCAGGTGGACCCCAGTTCCCAGTATGAAAACTTAGTCTCTGTCAAGAAATTTGGTGCAGACTTCCGTCTGGCTGGAGGCATCAACCTGCCCAAGATCATCACGTGTACGGGATCTGATGGGAGAGAGAGGACACAGCTTGTTAAGGTCTGTCTGGTCCTAGTTTTTTCCTATTGTTTTTGTAGTTCTCTAAACGTGAAAGTCAGGAAATTTTTTAGATTTATTTTTTGCCCTATTTGCTTCATAAAAGGAGATTCCCCAATGTGTATTAGAAGGACTCTTAATCTTTCATGAGAGGAATAGGTATTTTAATTCTGTGATTTAAACACTAACAGTGAAAGCGTTTAATTGGAGTGAGAATTTCTTTTTTGCCTCGCCTTCTTTTCGTCGACTTCTGAGTTCAAAGATTTACGTCACCCTTTTGTCAAATTTACATGCTTGGCTTTGGTTGAAGAGGTTCTGCTTCTGACATGTATTATATGTGCATTTTGCCCTCCAATAAAACAAAAACCATTGATTTCACCTAATCAAATTTGTCCTGAAAGGACTGAGTACCTTGTTATCATAGTGGCAGTGGGGACATAGCCTCTGAAGACATCTTTTATGAGACTGCAGAAGATAATGTTGCTATGCCCTTTTTGGGCTGTGCACTGTATCATATTTGAGGAGAATTTTATACATCAACTTAATGAAGATGAAAATAATAGATAGCATTTGTATAGCGCAATTTCCCGCTCAACGGTAAGCTCTATGCACTTTACAATCTATATTTAGACTTGAACCTTCGAAAAAACTGAAACAATAAAAAACAAACTGCTGCCCCCCTCCCTCAAAGTATGGATTAGGAAAGAAAACAATAAAACAAACAAAACAAAGCCGTGTGTTATGAAAGTCGTGACTGTTGTGTTTCAGGGTCGGGATGACCTGCGACAAGACGCGGTGATGCAGCAGGTCTTTGCCCTGGTCAACCAGCTCCTGGGCAGAAACTCGGAGACTCATCGCAGGCAGCTCAGTATTCGCACTTACAAGGTTTGAACAACAGAGAGAAGATTTTGTTCAGTTGCCATCTAGTCTGATAAGAAAAAGTGGAGATGTAAGCAAATTTATTAATGACTGAACAGGACTGGAGAACATGAAAGCTGGTGAAAGGAGAGAATTTTAGAGAAGGAAACTTTTTTCATCAGGTTTCGAACCCGAGACCTTTTGGATGAGAGGTGAACACCTGACCTCTAGAGCACAAGAACCCCCTCTGATAGGATTGTTGCATGGATTGTTAACGACACAACAATCTCTTGCTTGAACATTTAAGATTTACGCTACAGATTTTTAATATAGGCTACTTATTAAAACTCTCACTCATGTTTCAGATTAGGAGAGGCAGGTTAATGATATTTATGTTCAGACTCTCACTTATAGACTTCATATTTTGACAGTTAAGAAGTTGTGCCGCGATAGAATCTTTTCTTTCAAATGTCTATTGTCCTTATCTCTCCTTTTTTCGTGTGTGTGTTTGTTACTCTCTTGTAACATCTCTAATCTTCGGCTCTCATGTGATCTCTTATAGTTTTGCAAGTGCCGTAAAACGCTTACCAAAACTAACTTACTTTTTTCCCATCCCCTAATGGCCCGTTATTGTGTTGATGTGCTTCTCTCCACTGAAACAAACCATAGATGTGGGTGGTTGCTGGGTGCTCTGGTGTCGTTTTCTCCTTCTTTCTTATCAAAACTATTGTCCTTATCTCTCCTCCTTCTTTTTTGTGTTCGTCCGTCCCTTGTAACACCTCTAATCTTCGGCATTTATGAGACCTAATTGTGTCGCAAATGCTGTTGTAAAATGCTTGCTGAAACAAAAAAACAAAAACAGACAGCTTGTTCCCTTGTGCCAGGTGGTGCCCCTGAGCCAGAAGTGTGGTCTGCTGGAGTGGTGTGAGGGGACCAAGCCGCTGGGAGAGTACCTGATTGGCTCGCCGTCGGCGAAAGGCGCGCACACTCGCTACCGACCCAAGGACTGGCTGTTCAAAGACTGCCGCCTACATCTTAGTGTGAGGATTTCATTCTGCATCTCTTTTTGTGTGTTTATTTGTTTTTAATTAGAGTAGTTTCTTTGCAAAATATATTCATGCGGGTCCTTTTTTTTTGTAGAAAGGTTTTTAGAAAGAAAAAAACAAACTTCAGTCTTTTTATGCTTTTAGATCTAGATAGTTATTGTGAGTCTGCATCAGCAGAAGCCACAAGTCATCTTAGTCTTTCATTCTTCTCACTCTTTTATTTTGCTGAAGAAATATTCTCCTCTGGGATGTATCGATCATCGTCAGACATTGGCGGATGAGCTATCATCATCATCGTCATTATTATTATTATTGTTTATCTGTATGTATTTAAAAATGCAATTTCAAGTGTAGTAGTAGTAGATGTGTTTGTAGAAATATGTTGTGCTAGTATTCCTTTGTGGTCAGAGTACAGGACTCGAGCTCAAAAGGTCCTGGATTCAATTCCTGGTAGTGCAGGGCCCAATAGTATTTTTGTAGGAATGTTCATTCTGTTGGAGAGGGGGGGGGGGTTCTTATAGCATCATGTTAATAATTGGGTACAGCCTTCTTCCTTGAGGGATTGAACTTATGATAGGCTAGCTCATTGTCTCAGATGGCGCTCATATGACCTTATGTAGTTGCAAGCGCTGTAAAAACCTTACTAAAACAAAACAAACATTTGTCTCAGAGAAGATAAGAGGTGGTCTTTTTGGCTTCTGTCTTTGGAAAGCACGGGCTTGTGAATCTCATAAACTTTGAAAAAAACTGAACCTAGACCTGAATCTATCTTCAAATTTATTCCGATTTGCTATACTTTTGTCAATTAATTTAAGCTTGTTCATGTAGCTTTATGATAGTGTCTTTGACTTTTAAGAAAATAATGACACAACATATTGGCTGTTATAATCTTGCAAAAACATCATGCTCTTGTTTCAATTAGATTCAATTCTCTGGGTTTTAAAAAAATCTTATGTTTCTTTTCCTGTTTTATGACTTTCTTCAGGGTGCGGGCAACAATCCTGAGAAGAGGTACAAGGCGTACCAAGAGATCTGCAGCCACTTCAAGCCTGTCTTCAGACACTTCTTTATGGAGAATTTCCCGGAACCCTCCACGTGGTTTGAGAGAAGGCTCGCCTACACACGCAGTGTTGCGACCAATTCTATAGGTTGGCTATCAGCATACCATCGCTGTCTCAAGCAATCCATTAACCCTATCCGTACGCCCTGGGGTCATTTTGTACCCCCAGGGTTGTATTCTTCTCATTTTAGAATACTTTCAGTACGAAGATCTTTTTGAAACTTTCAGTATTTCTCAAAAAGTCATTTTGACAGACTGCTATGCAAAATGTACAGATCGGATTAATGAGTAAATTTCCTCTTTGGAGAGTGGTGGCACAGAGTTCCCCACATCTTATGGATACGATAGTAAAACAGGACGTACAGATAGGGTTAAAGTCCAAATCTGGAGAATTTTTTATCTTTACACCCTCCCAAATCTCTACCAAAGATGTGCCTTTCAACATCACCAAATTACAGTTTAACGCTATGGTCAAGGCTTACAATGTTCTTGCTTACATGATTCCTGATAGGAACAACGCAGCAAAAACTAGTTTTTTGTCTTTGCTATAAATAGTACCCGAACGGACTTACTGGATTTCTTGTGACGCTGACGATACGTTGGCTTTTTAACCTAGTCCTAGCGAGTGTAGTGTTCCCTTAGTTTTTTGTCCAAAGTTGGGTGCTGTTTAAGACTTTTCAATTGAGATATTTAATCATAATATGAACAGTGGATTTGCTGAATTATTTTTCAGTTCCTTTTATTTTTGTTTTGTTTTAGTTATAAATATTTCCATGTTAAAGGATGGTGAAATCTCAAGAAAAAATGATTTATCCGTGATATTGCAATAACTGAATAAGCATTTTGAGTTGCACTTTAGCACTTATAACTTCACTTAATGTGTTGCAAGTGCTGTAAAACTCTTACAAAAGAAAATAAATGTTGATTGTTATGTCAATGTGCTTCTCTTTAATGAAACAAATAGAACTTGTAGCAACTGAAATGATGCCAAGTCGTTGGGTTTTTCTTTTCCAGTTGGCCACATCCTAGGGTTAGGTGATCGCCACTTGATGAATATTCTGATCGACCTCCAAACAGCTGAGCTAGTCCACATTGATCTGGGTGAGTGGTGTCATGCGTTGGTGGGTGGTTGGCAAGTGCTCTGGTGTGGTTTGCTCTTTGTTTTCTATCAAACATCTATCGCCATTATCTCTTCTCCTTTCATTTGTATGCTACTGTCTTGTAACGCCTCTAATCTTCGGCCTTTAGATGACCTGTATGTATATTTGTTCCATTTAACTGTCTTATCTTCCAATCTTAGTTTTTATGTCTTGTCTTGTCTTCCTTGATAGAGTAACTGCGCGCGCTCATATGACCTTAGCAGTTGCGAGCGCCGTAAAACCCTATACTACATACATAGAGTAACTGCTGGATGCTAATAGGATACACTCATTTTGTTGGGTTACTCCCCTTCTTTATGGAGGATGTCACTGGTATGTCCTACTTCTTTTCTTTCTTTCTTTTATAATATCTGTCTGCCTGTCTGCCTCACCTTAAGCTGCTGTAAATGACCATTATTATTGTGTCAGTGTGTTTCTAAATGTCAAACAAAACAAAACTTCTTCACTTCACTGTTGGGGTTTTTTTCCTCCTCTTCCTTAATGAAAGTTTTTCCTACTGTTTTTTTACTCCACGAAGGCATTGTCTTTGAACAGTTCACTGTGGCGCTCATATGACCGTATGCAGTTGCGAGCGCCGTAAAACCTCTACTGTAAAAAAAAAGCAAAAAACAGTTCACTTCATCCTTTTTTTTCCTCCTCTTCCTTAATGAAAGTTTTTCCTACTGTTTTTTTCCTCCTCTTCCTTAATGAAAGTTTTTCCTACTGTTTTTTTCCTCCTCTTCCTTAATGAAAGTTTTTCCTACTGTTTTTTTCCTACTGTTTTTTTTTGCTCTACGAAGGCATTGCCTTTGAACAGGGCCGCATTTTGCCCACACCGGAGACTGTCCCGTTCCGACTGACCCGAGACATCGTGGACGGCATGGGAATCACTGGGGTGGAAGGAGTCTTTCGCAGGTCAGTGGGATTTTTTATGTTGATTCTCAACTGTTTTTTTTTTTCTCGACATAAAGTAGGTCTGCACGGGTCCTCATGCTCTTATGACCTTGTACAGTTGCGAGCGTTGTAAAACTCTTCTCAGCAAACTAAAATATAGTTATTGGGATTTTTTTTTCAATATCAGCACATGGGCGGTTGGAGTTCACCACTGGGAGTCTCCCTGCGTCTTTTCTTTCCCTGGGTTTTTGTCTTTTTATTTTGGGTCTATCTCATGTTTTGCCTGCACTAAATGACCTTTATTGTGAGGCTGTGCTGCAACCTGTTCAAACCAGAACAAACCAGTCCAAAGGAGAGCACTGATTGTTATGATAGGCCACCGGGCTAAAAAGAAATGACGCTGGAAGGGTGAGAAATAAAGCTAACACCCTTTTGGATTCAAATTCAGATTCAAAGTGTAGAGAAAAACATGAAAAAATACAGAATGTATGTACAATTGTTAAAAGACTGAAAGGTTGTTTTTTTCTCTTACCTGTACGACTTTGCTTTCTGGGCTCAGTAGGCTACTTAACAACTTCCTGCCCCAAAATTGACATGCGCCTGATTCCACTGAAGTCGTGACACATCTGTGCTCCCCCCTAAAAAACAATAACAATAGATATAACAACGTGTGTTTCAGATGCTGTGAGAAAACCATGCAGGTGATGAGAGGGAACTCGGAGGCCTTGCTGACCATTGTCCAGGTCCTGCTGCACGACCCCCTATCTCACTGGTCGCTCTCACCGCAGCAGGCTCTGACCATACAGGTGGGAGGACAACGAGTTAAATGTTTACACTACAGGAAAGGGAAAATATTTTGTCTAAAAAAATACAAATGTGTAACCCAGAATAAGACTAGCTGAGCTGCAAGTTTTCCATTCTTAGAGAAACTAGTAAGAGAGTTAATGAGGGGGGGGAAAAAAACAATGACCCCCCAAAAAAAACAATGACAAAAAAACCAAACCAACTGATGTACAGTAAAGCAATGTTTGCCATTTGGACTCTGGTGAGATAAGGTTTGATATTGTTATCGATAAGATTAGATAAGATTAAGATAAAATAAGGGTGCAATTCAAGTTAAGACTGAAGGGTATTGTGTGTGTGTGTGTGAGAGAGAGACAGACAGACAGACAGACAGGGAGAGGGAGGCAAAGTACATGCCCATAGACACAATGTTTGGATAGTGTTGTGTGACTGAGCTGTGCGTTGTTGTGCGTGTATCTTTGTGCCCTAATGTAATGAGTACATTTCTGTGCTGCTGAACCTTTGTATGTTGATGTTTTGGTGCATCCAGCTAAAATTTCCCTCTTGAGATCAGTAACGTTTACCTTATCTTGTCTTATTAACAAAGGAATGGGAAACCCTGCCGGCTCTTTTCGTTACAAAATACTGTGAAGTCCATTACTGAGCTATTTCTTACTCTCATCAAATGTTGACCTCGTGATTTGTAGTTGACATGGGGAAATCTGAGGAAAAGACTTTTTTTAATAGTGGTGGGGTTTTTGGGGTGTTTTTTTTTAGGGGAACTGAGACTAGTTTGAAAATGTAGGGTTGTTAAAGTGGCGTCAAAATTGTTAAAATGTTTATTCAGTCAGAATTGCTAGAGAGGTGAGCAGAGTAAGTCCGATTTCCTGTAAAGACTTCTCTGTTGGCACCCACCACTTTGCACTCATATGATCTTATGCAGTTGCGAAGGCCGTAAAACCTCTACTAAAACAAAACATCTAATCTTCGGCACTTATATTGCTTTATTGTGTTGCAAGTGCCGTAAAACTCTTACGAAAACGAAGGAGACCTAAAGTGAAGTTGATCTCTTCTATGTCTTCAGAGGAAAAGAGAACACGTGAATGCAGACACCATGGACATGACCAGCAGTGGGACTGTGCCATCCAGCGGTCAAGTTGCCGGCCCGTCGGTGGTGCCTCGACAGGATGGAGCTAACAACAACCACCAGGGTGAGACCTGGGGAAAGATATCCATGATGTTATGCTCTAATTGTTGAACTAGGTTGCATAAAAGAAATTTCACCACGTCATCATCATCATCATCATCATCATTATCATCATCATCGTCATCATCATCATCATCAACTTCACTGTCACTGGTGAAGAGTATGAAAAGAAGTGAAGATGGGGGGTGACGTTTATATAAATTTATGGTAGAGAAAAGAGACGGTTCACGTTTCGCCCAGAGGGCTTCTTCAGGATCATAATAATCTTCATCAACGTCATCATCATCATCATCATCATCATCATCATCATCATCATCATCACCATTTTCATCATTATCATATGTGTGGGTAGTTGGCGGATGCTCTGGTGTGGTTTGCTCCTTCTTTCTTATCAGACAGCTATCGTCCTGATCTCTCCGCCTTCTTTTTTGTGTTTGTTACTCTCTTGTAACACATCTAATCTTCGGCACTTATATGACCTTATTGTGTTGCAAGTGCAGTAAAACTCTTACTAAAACTAAACTATCTTTACTCTCTTAAAAAAGAAGATAAGAACAAAGGAAATGACACGCATAGAAATATGGAAAGCCTTTCAAATCAGTACGTGCTCAGCAGCACTGACTCTTCCTACAAAACTCTGCGTGTGTGGTTGTGGCGTCGGTAGACTAGTGGTTAGGGTACCGGACTCGTAATTGTGAGGTTGCCGGTTCGGGGGTTCGAGCCTCAGGCCCAATGTTGTATCCTTGGGAAAGGCACTTATCATGAATTTTTCTCCCTTAATCCAGGTGGGTATGGCCACATAGCTGTAGACAGCAAAAGATCTTGTTAGTATGTTAATGTTTTAGCACCTATAAAATGGCAGCTTGCACAGGAAGCTGAGATTGTTTCAGAAAGTCATCAGGTTTACTAGGGTAATAACAACATAGATTATAAATTGCATAGAGCTTGCTGGTGAGCAGGGATTTGCGCTATACAGAATGCTATTTATTATAATCTATTATGATCTATTATCTCTGTCGTTCTCAGATGCCCAGGAGCGACAGAACAAGCTGGCTGAGCGGACCCTGCTGAGGCTGAGGCAGAAGCTGGCGGGTCAGGAGGAGCGGGTGCCTCTCAGCGTCTCCGGCCAGGTCACCCTGCTCATACAGACGGCCAGTGACCCCAGGAATCTCTCCAAGCTGTTTGCTGGATGGCAGCCTTATCTCTAGTAGTCTCGCCTTCGCCTTGTCTAAAAGCGCAGTGAGAATAGTAACCTATGGAAATGTGCTATATGAATGCCATGTATTGTTATTATTATTATTATTTTTATCATCATTATTATTATTATTATTATTATTATTATTATTATTTTAGGTTATTATAATTTTTATTATTATTGTTGTTGTTATTATTATTATTATTATTAATTTTGTTATTATTATCTATAGTATTTTTCCCCTCTGTTCAAATGTGGGCAAATCAGAGGTGTAGATTTTCCAGATATTTCTCTGTAAATCCTGATTTCTGAAATTATCTGGTTTTTGCCCAATTTGAGGCTGATCGTTATTTGTGTATATAATGTCATATTGCTCTTTGTATGGAAATAGTCTTGATACAAGATACACTGTGTGCTTCCCTAGAAGTTGAGATTGTTTCAGAATGCTATCAGGTCTGCAGGGGTAATAATATAGATTGTAAATTGCATGGAGCTTGCTGTTGAGCGGCCATTGTGCTCTATAAATGCTATCTATTATTGTTATGTATAAGACAATACGATTCGTAAATTTAGAGTCCTCTCCCAGGTGTTTCCACGGCATCAGAAAGGTTCATGAAAACCGTTCTAGCCAATTGACAACTGTGTCATATGAGGTACAGATGACTACCATTTTGTCGATTTTTTCCTTATCAGTTTAAGTAATTCTCTATCGGCCATCCATGCTTTATGACCTCATCTTGCTACTTGACAAATTTGTTCATTATCTATTTATCTCCAAGTGTGGTGAACCCACTATGCCGGAGCCTTTTTTTTTTTTACGAAATGTAAAAATGACATATACATCACTAAATCGGTCATTAAATCAAAACAAATGATCCTATTTAAATAGTAAAAGAGATCTGTTTTTGGCAACTCTGGAAAAGTTTTGACGTCAAAGTCCTCCAAAACGGAATGTGGCAGAGCCGTTGCCCGTGGCTTACCACTTCATCTGTTCCAACAGTGAGCCACTGGGAGTGACTTGCCGAAAATGAGTTAAGAAAACAGTCTTGCCTTCAGACTCCCTCAAAACCATTTCTTTACGATCAGACAACTTTATTAATTTTACTGACTACCAGATAAAAAAAATTGATGCCCCTGCATTTCAGTTTACGACACATTTCAGTTTCTTTAAAAAAAATTTAGTTGTTGAAATTGCTTCAGGATGCTATCAGCATGGTGGGATAATAACATAGATTGTAAAGCGCATAGAGCTCGCTGTTGAACAGGAATTTGCACTATCCAAATTTTATCTTTTATTATTATTTTTATTATTATCATTATATTTCAGATTACTTTCTGGTAGGAAAAAATTCTGACCAAAATGTCTTAGATTCAGAGAAGAAAATGGTCTAGTAGGGAAAGGGTTAAGTTAATACTGCATTTTTTTTTTTATAGTTTTTTTGTTGCATTCAATTCTTGTCACCTTCCGTTGAATGTTCCTGATTGTTGTTCTCCGGCATTAACCCCAAATGTGCTGATTTCATCCAACCCGTGTGTTCATATTGTACAGGTATACGTCTTGTTATTATAAGTACTGGTACTTATGTAAAACAGAGCGAGCTATTCAATCGAGATTTGTCAATTTATATAAGATATTTTGACACCACCCTCCCCCAATTCCTGTGTTAAACTGGCTTATACTTCGTTTGAGACCGTAAGTAAGCTTATTCAGGTTAAAGTATGTAATTAAAATCTTAATTGTGGTCTGCTCTCTGTACTTCTTGCCATTGCTATGCTAACGTCTTTTGTAATCTGATTCAGTTTCTCTTGTCTTGCCACTGTTATCTGAATCCGTATTAATGTTTCAAGTGAAATGTGAGTTACTGTGTTATTTAGCATTTAGCCCGATGCAGCTGAAACCTAAGATACAAGATATTTTCTGCCATGTCAGTGTGGCAAATGTTCCATTGTACAGAGAATTTTGATTTTTTTTCTCCCCATGTCACAACACTACCTTAGAATTACAAAGTTTTATCTGACATTTTTGGCTGTTTTGAGTTACTAAGACCTTGTACATATGACCTAATGCAGTTGCGAGTGCTGTAAAACCTTACTAAAACTAACTAAGATCTTGCAGTAAAAAAACAGATGTTCTATCTGCTCTATCAAAATCATAAGATTGTTCGGATTAGTTATCAAGATATTCAAAGAATTGCATTCAGAAAAGCTTGACTTGTGAAACTCAAAATATTTAACGTCAAATTTCCCAAAACTAGCAGATAGGACTTTGTAATTCTGGGATAGCGATTTTCTGCCATGTCAATGTGGGGAAATGTTCCACCTTGCTGAGGATCTTGATTTACCTTCCCCCCCCCCCCCCCCCCCCCCCCCATGCGTCACTAGTCTACTATAAATTGCTGCTTTGTCCTCATAGTGGATGGTAGATGTGTCCTTTGATGTCCTTTGATTCTTCTACTTCTACTAAGCTCTGTTCTTATTATTATTATCATCATTATCATCCCAGTCGGTTCCTAGGTATGTACACAGGTCACCAACTACGGCGGCAGCTAAGTTGATATACTGTGTTGGGATATACCGTGTTGGAAAGTGACAGATGATGTACTGTGTTGGAAAGTGACAGATGATGTACTGTGTTGGACAGTGACATATGATGTACTGTGTTGGAAAGTGACAGATGATGTACTGTGTTGGAAAGTGACAGATGATGTACTGTGTTGGAAAGTGACAGAAGATGTACTGTGTTGGAAAGTGAAAATCACTCACCATTGCTCGGGAGAGACTTGGCCCAAAATAGAGAGCTTGCAGAGTATTGCTTTTGTCTTCTGGTATGAATGTGTAGAAACATTCCTCTTACACATGGTCCAATTCATCCAGGTATAGTTTTTGAAGTTTCATGCTGTGGTAGTTTTTCAAATGCATTAATCCTTCTGAAAATATTCATCATGTGTCTTTTTCAATGTCAGCTTATGATTAAACATCTCTGTAGCTATTTTACGTTTTCATGCTATATGGGTGCCTCTTGTCCTGAACTGTTAAAATTTTAGAATAAGTGGGGTGTTGCAGACTTCTCCTTTCTTTTTGAACTGCTTTCATTTATTTTCTTTTGTTTAGGTGGTTTCAAGATATGTCAAGGTTTGCCTTCCGGTGCACTTTGGAAGTCAATCTTTTATATACAGTATATATATCTAAATGATGTCCCTAATATTCACAACTGTCAGTTATTTTCTTTGTCTGACCATTGATGAACAAATGAATTTCAAGAGACTTGAACAATTCATGGACACAGACTTGAACAATTCATGGACACATACATACTTGAACAATTCATGGACACAGACTTGAACAATTCATGGACACATACTTGAACAATTCATGGACACATACTTGAACAATTCATGGACACATACTTGAACAATTTATGGACACAGACTTGAACAATTCATGGACACATACTTGAACAATGTATAAACAGGGGGCTAGAGGTACCAATTGTGTAAATATTATTCAGCTCAGCTGTCTGAAATATTAACAGGGTTTTTTTGTATTGGGGAATAAAAGCAGGGAAATCATCTTAATTAGAAGTGCATTGTTAATGAGTGAATGATTCTGTCTCTTGAGTGGAATGTTATGTTTGACCTGAAACTTTATGTGACTGCGTGATTACATTTTTCATTACAGTATTATTATATTTCAAGTCTTTTGTCATGGGTTTGAGTGTGCTATAGTTTTTATTCAGAGAAAAAATGGTTTGGAGTTTTTGTTAGGAGAGTTACATTCTGATCATTTCATTATTACTTTCAGTAAAGATGCTGTAAATTGGGGAATATTAGTCTACATTATGACGATGGACTTGCTCTATGTTTGAAGGAAAAGAGGTCATATAAGTGCATCTTTTTTGTAGTCATTTTTAGTCATATTATGTTACAAATTGTGGGATCTTGTAAAGCTGTTTCCATATTTATTTATTTTTTTAAAGATGGTTTTTGCCAGTGCTTTCAATAAATGCCATGAAGTGACTCCAGTAGTGTGTATGTATGTGTGTGTGTGTGTGTGTCGGGAAGGGGGTGTCCTCTCCTGTCAGTCTGGCAGCGGACCACAGGGAGATCTGAATTCTTATCAGCCTCTGACTGAGCTAGTGTTCAAGAATGGTTGTGTTGACCTTATCATCGGTGCAGCGAGCAATCCACTTAAGTCCAATTGCGAACGTTTTACACCACCAACAAAAAACCTAGTTTTTGTTGTGTTATTCCTATCTTCTTCTTCTTCTTCTTCTTCTTCTTCTTCTTCTATCCCGAGGTTGGGGCAACCATTGGGGCACCACTGCATTGGAAAACCAGCTCTCGCCATCTATTTTTGTCCTCTGCTCTCCTCGGATTGTCACCCATCGACTTTCCTGTCCACTCTGTAATGTTGTCCTCCCATCTCCTTCTCTGCCTTCCTCTCTTTCTCTTTCCTTGTACGGTTCCTTGCAGGATTGTTTTGGCAATTCCTGTGGAACTTGTGACATGCCCATACTATTTTAGTTTTCGTCTCTTCACTGTGGTCAGTAGATCTTCATATTGTTTCTATCAGGAATCACGAAAAGCAAGAAAACTGTAAACCTTGATCATAACATTACACTGCATTTTGGTGATGCTGAAAGGTGCATCTTTGACAGAGCTTTTGGAGGGTGTAAAAAAATTAGAAAATTCTCAAAATTTAGACTTCACTGGATTGTTTGCGACAGCGACGATATATTTTTTGCCAGACTTTAGCTTTTGGTTGTGTTTCTGATTTCACAGATAATTCTTTTCTTACAACTTCATGAGCCAAAATGTTTGTTTTTTTCTCCTCTGTTTATACCGCCTTCCTGTATAAAGTTGTTGTTATACTAAAAATTGAAAATAAATGTTGTTACAAACTTGCCTTTTCTGTTGTCTTCATCGTTTTTCATCTCATGGTTACAGATGATGCCACAATTTGGTTTATTTTGTCTATCCCTTATTCTTCCTCTTTCTTTGTCTCTCTTTTCCTGTGTCTGTGGTGTTGCAGTTCACAACATTTTATCATGGGTAGTCGGTGGGTGCTCTAGTGTGGTTTGTTCCTTCTTTCCTATCACACATGTATCG